TGTTTCTTTACTATTTGCTGTGTGTGTATGGCTCCCTTTGCAATGCTGATTAAATTAAATGTGTTATGAGGTCAGATTTAAATACCACACCACAATTCTCTGATGCCTTGCATGTCAGGGTGGGTTATCTGCTCTCAAGTGGCTGATTGTTTTGGGAATAATAAACCTGTATGATATGGGTCAGTCAGACTGCTTCACTGTGTTTCTGGGTGAATCCAAAGTTCACAGTAACACCACTTATAGCACACCATGACTTAGACCTTTCAGCAAACCAGTCAAGGTCAGCGTCACTACATTTCCCTCCAGCAGCAACCAACATAGAGCTGAAGTGACAGGTGACGAGGTGTTAACAGTCATCTCATCTTTACGCAACACACATAGCAGAGGCTAGAGCAGTGTTCTGCTGTTGATAGCAGGAAGAGTAAGCGTAGATGCTAGTCTTTAAGCCTCAGGATGGTTGTGCATTCGATGATTCCTCGTTTATACTATTCCCACAGTATGTTTATAGTATTCCCACAGTACTATTCCCACTATGTGACTTTTGTTGCCATGATGCCAGGTCTCTCTTGGAAATGAGATTTTTAATCTCAATGAGATTTTTTTACCTGGATAAATAAAGGACTAATAAAAAAGAAATTAATTTCTTTAATAAAATAGCAATATTTGCTCTCCATGTATCGATATAATATCACCATGCAAAAGATTGCGATACTATGCTGTATTGGTTTTTTTCCCTTCCCTACCACTAACATTTAAATACAAATATTAAGTAATATTAAGATGTATGGAATATAGACTGCATAACCTAGTAAAAATCCGAATGTCAGGTGAAAGATGACATTAAGAGGCTCTATATAGGAGTGTAAAGTATAATAGACAGTGCAGAGTGTTTTCAGTTTTAGGGTTTGTAATAAATTGTTAGCAGATGATTCTCTGCTTGACACACTTGGATATGATGGTTGAGGAGCTGCAGAAAGGCTCAGTAAAAATAATAAGATAATGCAGAGCTTTTCTAGTAGAGCTGAAAATGAGCATAACCGTCCCTATTATCCCTTAATCCCTCAGAACTGCAGGTATCCATGCAGCATTGTAGTTTTGCAGTACTCTCGCATTAAACTGTTATTTTTATGTAAGGGGATTTATTTCAATCAATGAACAGCTGTTCTCCCCCGTCATATCCATTCTGCTGTCTTTGTGTGTGTGTGAGTGTGAGTGAGATTTCACATGACGTTGTGCATTATGTTAAATCCTGCGGGGTGATGGTGGGAATGGGATCTTGAATGGTTGCATGCCGGGTCTTTTCGCAAACACACAAGCCCTGTGTCTGTTTTAGGCTTTTACTCTACCGTAGCTCTCCTCTCGCAAGGGCATGAGACCCCCGCACCACCAGGGGTCTCTAGCTGCATCTGTGAGGAGTTACTTTGGTCTGCGTGAGTACTCGCCACAGATCTGTGCTTCTTCTTATGTCTGGTTCTTCTTTCTCTAACTCTCATCTAGCTCATTGGATAAGATGGAGTTTTTCTCTCTTTCTTACAGCTGTTAGCATGACATACACATCTTATAACATGCAGTTTCCCCTCTACTTGGGGCTACCTGCTTTTGTGGCTTTGATATATTTTTAATTTTATTTAATTT